TATTATATATTTTTTTATTGAAATATAATTTTTAAAATATTTAAATACATATTTTAAATTATATTTAACCATATATATTTTAAAACTACCAACAACATCACATATATATAAAAAAAATTATAATAAAATAAAATTATAAGTCACCATGTTTAACTTACTAAACTCCACTTCATTTCCTAAACAAAGTATATATATTTTAAAAAAGACTGTATATTTATCTACAACTAGATATATCAAATTACTTCAAACACATATGTTCAAATAGATTTTTTTTAACATTAATTATTTTTTTTAAGTTTTGGGGTTTTAAAAAATTTTGAATTTAGTAAAAAGTATAAGATATTCAACGCTATATTTTATTAATAAAAATATATATTTAATTTAATATTATTTTTTTTAAAAAAAATAATTACTATAATAAATACTTCCTCCGACTGTTATGTTCGCTTTATTGTAAATAGGAAAATTTAGGAAGAGTATAATTCGTAAATAATTAAAAATGTATTAGTGAAATTAATTATCATGTAATAAAATAATTATAGATTAAGATCAAAATAACTAATTACTCTAATTAAAATTTAAAAAATTTAAAACTAAAAATTTTAAAATAATATTAAAGTGTATAATTTTTTCCAAAAAAAAAATAACAATATAAGTGAGACGGACGAAAATGAAAAAAAAACCCTGATAAGTGAGACAGAAGAAACAGTAAAAAGCTTCGAAAAGTGTGTCGTAAAGTTGCAAATACAACTTGCATATCAAACAAAATAATTAAAACCAAAACTATCTAAATAAAATATTGAAACTAGACCATGTTCATCAAGATTAAAGAATTGGCAAAAAATTCACCCATCTCCTATAAATTAAGACCTTCCAAACTCACATTTCTCCCGTCCATCGTTATCATCTTCGACAAATCTCTTAAATAAGATAAATATCATAAAAATGAAGAACAACAACAACGTATGTGTCGCATTGTGCGCAGTGACGCTAATACTGCTCACTGCGCACAATGTCGAAGCAACTTGCGACTACCTACAACTAATCAGCCCATGTCAGTCCGTGCTCGTTTTGGGCGTCAAGCCCGACGCAAAATGCTGCGCCGCGATAAAGCTGCAGCTCGACGCAAAATGCTATTGTGTATACAAGAAAGACGCTTCGTTACAGCAGTACATAAGCAAGGCCAACCAAATCATCATCGACTGCAAATTCGCCGTGCCTACGTGCTAAATTTAAATGATAAATTGATAGTTATTATCAGCTTGGTCAGTCCTAATATAATAAGCATTATTATGCATTGTCATCGCTTTCCCTTTTCTTTTTTTTTTTGTTCTTCGTCTTTTTATGTATGATCGATAAAAAAATTGTCATAGCCGGCAGCTTGTAGCTGCCGCGCAAGTTAGATTTCTGTATGTTAGGGCTGATTTATGGCTTCGTCTTTTTAATTTTGTTTCGGAAGAATAATTTTCTTGTTCGTGTTTTTTGTTTTGCATTAATGTGTTGCTAAGTAGCTTTCGATGTTATAATGCCTCATTTGCAAACGGGAATAATATATATATAATAAAGGCAAATTATATATATTTTTTCTGTCCTATTGAAAGATTGTCATTTTTCATTTTCGTCCATTCCAAAATAAGGTTACTATTTCCTAATTTAGTAATTGTACTACTTACCTAACATAATAAATATCCTTCCAACTTACAATATATTACACAAATGTCATTACTTTTATATTACACTATACTAATAGGAATATTTTGTCTTTTTTACTATAATTCAATATAATATTAATATTAAAAAATTTACGTGCAAAAAGTAGGCCTATACAATATAATATATTTATAACACAACGTAATATTGCGTTTGTGTAAAAATATATTTGACCCAATTAGGTGGATTCGCCTCCTATAATAATATGTGCTAATGATAACAACATTTTGGTGTTTAGGTAGATATTTCCTATCTAGTAAATATAGATTTTACAATATTAATAAAATACGCGCTGTGTTTGTTTTTAGGATGTCAACGGGTAGATTCGAGACGGATTTTGCAAGCCCTGAGACCCGTTCCGCTAAAAAATTATTAGGACTCAAGACCAGCCCCACCCTGCTTCAACTTGGCCCCAGGATCCGTTCGGGCCAATCCGACAATCCCACTTTTTTTTAAGAAAAGAATAAAATTAAATATTTAAAAAATAATTTAATACTAAAAAAAATATTCGTCAAAGTACCAAAAAATTATAGTTCTAAAAGTAAGAACAATCAAATATTGACGATAGTCCGTAGTGATGGCGGTCAGCAGTAGTCCCAATTATAAAGAGAATTGCAAGAGAAAAAAAATGCAAACACAAATTTGATTTAGAATTAAGGTTTCATTTTATATTTAAAATTTTTTAAATAAGTAATATAATTTATATGGTATAAAAATATAAATAAATTAAAAAAATTATTAAAATATCCTGGTTCGGGTCCGGGTCTGGGGTGGGGCAGGTTTATAGTAAAACCCGTAACCCGCCCCGAATTCGGCCGGTTCTAAAACTCAAAATTCATAACCCGTTCCGAACCAAATTTTTTGATCCGAACCCGCCCCATTAAAACCAGGTTCGGGGCTAATCCGCCCCATTTGACATCCCTATTTGTTTTATGAGATTGTTGGAAAGCAATTTTTTTATGTGAATTATAGATAATTGTGTATGTAATATAGAATAATGAATGTTCGCAGTGTATTAATATAAAACATATAGAAAGAACAAAACCAGATCTATTATTTTATAAATATTAGTACTCCATCCGTCTCAGATATCATGTCCACGTTGCCCTTTCTGTCCGTCACACGTACCATGTCACTTTCATTTTTTTGAAAAATAATTATACACTTTAATCTGATTTTAAATTTTTAAATTTAATTTTTTTTAATTTTAATTAAACTAATTAGTTATCTTAATCTTAATTTATAATTATTTATATTATAGGATAATTATTTTCAATAATACATTCTTAATTATCTACTAATTACACCCCTCCTAAAATATCATATCTACAGTGTAGCAGACACGCTATTGGGACGGAGAGAGTATTATTTTTTAATTTTTTTTTTATGTATAAAATGGAAGTATTATTCTCTCTTAAGAAAAAATTGTATTCATGGCTTATTTATATATGTTTTTTTAATTAAAGATATAATACTCAAAATACCCGTAAAGACAAAGAAGCACGTCCCAAACTCTTTATTTTTTAAAATATAATTTTAACAATATTATTAAAATTCGATTCATTTATTTTTGTCTTATTGATTCAATTAGAAATTTCGTAATAAAATTTTTCAATATTAAGACAACTTGATATTAAATAAATAAATACATGTATCTACTATCTATTATTTTTTGTAATTGACAGAAAATGAATGTAACAAATAAAAAAGATAAAATTATCATTGTATAATTGTAATTGTAATTGCAATTATATTATATATTTATTTATATAAAATTATATTCTAAAAGTAATAGTATAAATAAATTTAGTTTGATTTATTTATTTATTTTGGGAGATACATTTATTTGTATATTATATTTTATACTATGTGTATACATTTTATTACGGGATCGAATATTAAAATTTTATATTTGCATTTGATTCATATTCAAAGCAAATCGAATAATTTTATTCGAATTCGAAATCATAAAATTTTGTATGCGAATATCAAAATTTCGAATCGATATAACAAATTGAACAATTTAAAATTATTTGATTCATTTACGATCCTACCGAAAAATAGTAGTGGGCTCTGAAAAAAGCTTCGGGCAACAACGATGTCTCCCCACTCGACAATGTTGTAATGTGTCGATGGTTAGGGCGCTTCCTACATCATTATTATCCTAGTGGTAACATCTTTCTTTGTCTTCACGGCATCGGTATCTTTTCCAACCAAAAATCAATCTTCTCAAGGTGTTTTGGGGGAAAATAATAAAATTGTATTATTAATTATTAAAATAAGTAGTCTATATATAGATAATACAAAACAGAGTCGATAAACTGAAATCTAAGTAATCTAATTTATGGATAAGATCAAATATAAATATAAATCTACTAAATCTAAAACTGAATATCTAAAATATGTAGTGAAAAAGGCCACCGATTCTTATAAGCATATGATTATTTTTACTATAATAAAAAATAAATAATTTTGAATGAAAAACCAAAAAAAAAAAAAAAAATTATATATATATAAAAAAAAATCAATTGAAATGGAGATAGTATAAAATATTTACATTGGTTTGAGAATAACAAAAATAATAAAAACAATATATGATCGGGACAAAAGGAATAAATAATATATAAAAATATGTTCTCTTCGTCGTCGCAAATTATGCACGTATGTTTGGACAATATACAAGGATAGTATTTCTTTTTTTACGAAAAAAAATGAATATTTATAATAAAAATAAATAAATATAAATTTGGATTATAAAGAAAATATGTAATAAACAAGATATATAATTGAATTGTAACGATCCACCTATCTAATAAAAATATGCGTTGAATTTGATTATTTTGTTAATTTTTTTATATGAAATTATTAGATATTTTATAAAAATATTATAAAATCCATACTTGAACTTATTTATAAAATATTGGTTTCGTACTTTGTTGGCATTCTTTTAGAAATTTATATTATTTATGAAAATTTTTTATAAATTTTTTACTTTTTATGATATATTAAAAATTAATTTTAAATTTAAAACATAATATAAATTAATGGTATGTTTACATAGAAACAAAATTTATATCCAAATTCAAATTCTAACAAAAACGTCCTCTTTTATAAATATTTTATTAAAAGTTTTTGAATAAATTCTATATTAAATATGATTTGATATAGATATGATTTGAAATCATATGGTTTTAACTCTCTTTTTATCCATAATTAATAAATTATATCTTTAATTCTCTATATATACAGAGAGGTTTAGTAAAAATATTCTTATATAAAAAAGCTTTTTAATGGCGGCATCTTCTTCTACTCCTATTGATAAAGAGACATCTTCTTCTACTATCATGAATAAAGAGAAATTCAGAACCCTAAGAAGCTCTGACGGCAAAGAATTCAAGATTTGCAAAGCCGTTGCTCGGCAACTATCTCTTATTGCAAATTTATTCGATCTAGAAGAAGATGATAAAAACATAATTTGTCTCTTCGAAATTGACATAATTCCTCTCCCTGAAGTTGACGGATTAACCCTTGACAAGATAATTGGTTTTCTGAATATGTACACGGAAGAATCTTTCCAAAAATTCACCAACGAAGAAAAGAAAAAACATTGCGACGACTTTTTTGCCAATTGTAAGATCCATGATTTCTTTACCCTCGCATCAGCTGCGAATTATTTGGGAGCTCAGGTGGTTTTAGACGAAGCTTGTCAAAGGTTAGCAGATGCAATGAAGAATAAATGGTTTTAGACGAAGCTTGTCAAAAGTTAGCAGATGCAATGAAGAATAAAAGCGTTGGCCTGAAGAAGAACGAAATATAAAGAATAAACATGAATGGACTTATGAAGAAGTAGATCCCGACGACGACGAAGATATCGAGATCGATTAATAACTCACTTTAATATTAGTTAGAATCGATTATTAGGGTTTTCAGAAAGTCAATATTATTTAGTTTGTTTGATTTTGTAGTTTCAAATTTTGTTTTTAGCATTGGCTATAAAATTTTTAATTGATATTTATTAAATATGTAATGAAAATTTTATTTTTTATTCAAAATATTAAATTTGATTTTTGTCTTTTATTTATTTTTATTTTTTTACATATGAGTTTTGGTTTCCATGTTATAGAATTGTAAAAAAATCATAACTACTAACAATGAAATTATAGAAGAAAAAATTAAATTAAAAATTGAATTTTATATTTGATAAAATTCAATTAAACATAATTCATATTTTAAATTTAAAGTAAAATGATAAAATATAGATAAATAAAATTATTGCTATAAATAAATTTTATATAAATTTAAGGGACGCAAACAGTTTCATAATTCATGTAGAAGTCGTTAAGAGTCTATATATGATGAATCTTTCTTCCTACATAGGCGCCCAATTAGTGAGTGCCACGTGTCGGATTCTCCTCCCTGCAACATCTCCCAGATATCTCCGCTCCCTTTCAACAATCGTCTTCCTCACAACCGTAACCGAACATTCATCCACAAATTCAGCGCTCCCCAATTTCTAGGGTTGCAATCCATTCCTTCGATTTGTATTTAATTGCGGGAGATTTACAACCATGAAGAAGATTTCCCGAACCTTTTTTTAATTTTTCATTTTTTTTTTTAATTTTTTTTTTTCAATTTTTGGCAAAATCGTTGTAGACCCGAATCCAATTTTGCCAAAATGCATTGCTCTAATTTGAAGGTGCCTGCGGATTTCAATTCGCTCTTGCTGCCGCGTCGGCCTAGCAATGGGGTTGGTAGAGCATGTAATTTACGGTTTAATCGAATCGTTACTTGCAGTGCTTCGCGCCAGGGTTCGGATTCGGGCCCGGGCCCGGGCCCCATTCAAGGTCCGAGTGGAGGCTCAGTTTTCTCACGAACCGAGACGTATGCGTTGCTGAAGCAACAACTCGAATTAGCTGCAAAGGCTGAGGTATATTTGCTGAAATTGTTTCAGATCGATACTGCGTGTTGAAATTCATTTCTATGCATTTATTTTGTGCTATATTTCATATTCAGAACAATTTACATGATTTTATCCATTAAAAAGGCATCCTGCTTTTTTGAATTTTTGTGAAAACCATTAGGTTGTGATTTGGTACAGATAGTGTAATGTACCAGAGGATAGAATTGCATCAAAAGAATTCAGTAGAATTGATTCTCTATTTTATAGAATGGAATTCAGTTGATAAATATAAAAAAATGCAACGATCCGATGAATCTATGAGGAGGAGAGGAAATGATGAATGGGTACGAGAGGATTTTAGTGAGTGAGAGAATCATGGAGAAATATGGTTTGTATTTGTTTTGTTTGAATAATTTAGATGCAGATAGTGTAATTTTAACGTAAATCCACGCACGACGATGGTGTATTTCTCTATTTTCTTTTCTCTCTATTTCGGGAAGGAGAGAAGTGAACACACCATTCCTAGGGCAATCAATTCATAATGTGGTAAAATTTGCAAACTAACAAAAAGTTGGACTGTGGTAAGGAATAGGGCATTGTTAATCAATTACCTGAAGAATGGACTTGCAGCTATATTTTGACAAGTAGTGATTCTAACACAAGAATTTATGTAGTTTGGAGGTTTCAATGATCACTCGTAACGCATTGTTTTAGAAGCTCTTTGCCATGCCTTGCCTGATCAAGAGCCAGGCTATATCAGATATTAGCTTTAGGCATTTGAATTTCGATGGCTACTGTAAAATGTAAATCATAATGCAAGAAAGATCTATCATGATGATTGAGAGAATTAAGCATGATTCTATCGATATGTTTATTGCTTTTGTTCTTTTTGAGAAGATTTGGTTTGCCAATTGTAAATCCATCATGATGGCTACTGTAAAATGTAAATCATAACGCATTGTAGCAATTGTATGTTTCAGTGTGCTGCTATAATCCAAACTCGAATATTATTTGGGCATTATCTGATTCTCTGAGATTGTGTGTAATTTTAGGTTTCTCATAATCTGTGTAGGATTACAAAGAAGCTGCTAGACTTCGCGATTCTTTGAGATTGTTTGAGGACGAGGAGCCAGCTTTGCGTCTTCAGAGACTGTTGAAGGAGGCTGTAGCTGAGGAAAGATTTCAGGTGTGCCTTTCCATTCGTTACGGCATTTTTTCGAAGATATAATTCCACTCATTTTGTTGTATAAGCTGTTGGGAAATCTTAATTAGTGACCAAGATTTAAGCATATTCAAAGTGAGAATAAACTAGGAATGGAATTTATCAACATTTTAGTATGATCGAATAATGTTTGTTCTTTTGGGTGGAGGAAAGTCTGTTTTCTGACCATGATTGGATGCTTCAAAAACTCAATGCAGAGGTCATCGTGATTTTAAATGTAATAGCTATTAATATGAGTGATGCAAATGCTGAAGAGAATTCCACGCCCCTTAGTCCTGAAAAATGTAACTTGTGGGTGATCATCTTACAGTAAAATATTTAGAGACGTGAAAAAATTACTCGTTACTTGCAAAATTCTGCAGTCTGAGAAATTAATGATCTATGTTTATGTATTTTTAGGACGCAGCCAGGTATCGTGATGAGCTCAAGAATATTGCCCCACATACATTCTTGAAGTGCACAAGCGATGCGACAACCTTGGTATAACAATCAACAATTATATTCTTGCCAGGTTTTTTCAGTCGAGAATGTTTTACTAATTGGATTTGTAGTTTGATGCTGCTAGACATAAGAAATAAACTTTCTCGTTGTATCGAATAAAAGGCATATGTTACAATGGTACAATTAGAGTGAAATTGATCATACCTAAGCCAGCATAGAAAAATATAATCTAATGTTTCAATAATTCCAACCTATAAGATATAAAGCAAGTTATGTAAGATATATATGTATTATATATTGCACTGATACTATATCGACTGATTAACAGATGTTATACTACAGCCTTATCTAAATAACCCCACTGTAATCCGTAGAAGTTGGAATAACATACATCTCTACAATTTAGATTAACTGGCCAATACGATGTTGAATTGGTCGTGTTAAACTTCTGCTCCATAAGTTACATAGTTGAGGTAGGGTAGCTGTGCACTCTGCATAACTGATCGTTGAGATTTTCTTAAAGGGCATTAGAGTTCAAGTTAGAAGTGTGTATGTTGAAGGTCGAAGCCAGCCTTCCAAGGGTCTATACTTTTTTGCATATCGGATTAGAATCACCAACAATTCAGATCGCCCAGTACAACTTATCAAGAGGCATTGGATCGTCACTGATGCCAATGAGAAAACTGAGAGTATCCAGTAAGCTTCTCATTTTCGGTTCTTTATATTTTAAATTTCTAGATAGTGTTTCTTTTCGGTTTGGATTGAGTTTTTCATTTAAATAATGTTTGAAGCAGTCTTTTGTTAGAGAAAATACTCAAATACACCCCTTGTTCTTCTTCAAGTAATCAATCTATTATATATATATGTGTGTGTGTGTGTATAACTGTGCTGACTCCATGTTTTTTACCAGTGGCATTGGAGTTATAGGCGAACAGCCGGTTATACTCCCCAGCACTAGTTTCGAGTATTCATCCGCATGTCCATTGAGCACCCCAAACGGAAGAATGGTGAGACTACAAAACCTTAGCTCCTAAACCTTATAGTTGCATAAAGGATCGTATCAAATCAATTTTTTTTTTTTTTTTACTGTCAAATGTCTATTTTGCTGACTATATATGTGGAAAAAATTCATATGAACATTTCTGTTTCATTTCCTTGAAAAAAAAAAAAAAAGATCAGCCGAAAACATCTTGGAGCATTGTATTAATCTGTTTCTCTATACCCTGTCAATATTGTCGATTTTGTTTGTCCATGCTTTTTATGTAGGTAGGATTTAATATCTGGTACTATAATTTTATTTTATTTTTTCCTTTTATGTCTTTCTATAAGATGAATAGGGAACTGTTACTTTGCTTATTTGGAGAAAATTAGCACACGTAAAATAGTCATCTTAAAGTCGGCATACACACATGCTATGTGAAATATAATCATGTGCTTTCTATTTATACTTGTAGGTGTATGCGAGACTAAATTATATGGTATTAGTCCATATGATGTATTTATATTATGTTAATGCACGATATGCTGTCAATATCTAAATTCAGCACAGTAACAGCCGCCAAGATGAATATTTTTGTTCGAGAACAACTCGAATAGTTTTGGCTTGTAATGAACACAAGTTTATGTCTTATTATTCCCGCGCTTTATTACAGGAGGGTGACTTTGAGATGTGCTATGTCGACAAAATAGGAGGCCGGACATTCAATGTCGCGATTGCGCCGTTTTCGTTGTCGATGTTTGGAGATGGAGGATCGAGTGGTGTATGAGATACCTCATTTTCTCGGTATCTATTTGTGTTTTTCATCTTAAATTTAGGACATGATGCAATTAGTTAAAGACTAGAGTTTGCCATTACTTATGTATTTGTATATGATAAGATATGATAGATATGTAGTTAGAAGAGTCAGCATTATTAGTGTATAGCTGAAGCACAATATATGTGCAACTCGAATTTTCACCCTATATTGTAACTTCTAATTTGTCACCCTTTATGTAGAAAATATTTTATCCATAAATGTCTCCCAAGATAATCCTACCCAAAATAAAGCAATTATGACGCTGAGGCTGATCCGGTGCTGATGGGTTCTGGGCAGTTCATCATAGTCGATGAAAATCGAATGGTTTAAATTGAAGAGGGGTAAGATCATTTTTCTTTTTTCCTTTTTTTAGTTTAAAAAGTTACGGAGTTGTGTAAATCTGTGAAGTCGGATGCTGAAATATGTCAAAATGTTTCATTATAAAATACTTTGCCATAAATAGTAAGATGTTGAGTTTTTTAAGTTTGTTGTTATATAACATAATATAAGATGTTTCCTTTAGGTAAATGTTGTTTACAATTGAACCAGATATTAATTTATTTTATTTAATAATACTTTTGATGTTATAATTTCAAATTTTTATATTTTATTCAAAGTTTGGTTGTAGTGTTTTTTTGTGATGCATAAATTAAAGATGAATTTTGAGTAATTTGACTTTTTTTATAACATGAAAATTTGCAGCTACGACTCCACCTTTACAGTACAAAACCATCCGTTAGGAACGTGGTTTGACCATTTCTTCTTTGAGCAAAGCTTATTTTATCTTGTTTTCATACCTTATTTTGAATGACTATGTGGCTCAAAATGGAGATGAATGGAAGAATATTGAATACTTCCGATCAATGATGGTATCAGGATTTAGTTTAAGAGAGGTTATTTTATAATATTTGAAAAATAATACTCACTCCGTCTACTAGTGTCCTACTGTCCTCTTTTTATTTTTATAAACAAAATTTATTCTTTTACCCTTACTTTTTCTATTTTTATAAACAAAATTTATTCTTTTACCCTTACTTTATTTACTCTTTCATTTTTTATACAGTAAATTTCAAATAAGACGCTAGAAAATGGATGAAAGGAGTATAATTTATTTAATATCGAGATATTTTTTAAATTTTTCTTTTTTTTAAATAATAAACTATCCCAAAGTTAATTTCACCGTCAAATTTTGTACTTGTTCCCTAACTCAAATTTTCATACGAAAAAATAATGGATTAAATACACGGGATACAAATTAAACTTACCTCATTAAAAAAAAAAAATACTACTTTTTTTTATTTTATTTACTTTTAAAAAAAAGGTAATAAAATATATATTTACATTAAAACTCATATTTAAACATTTGAATACATTTAAAAAAATAAAAATAAAAAATTGAACACATTTTTAAATGACACAAGGAATACAGTTACAAGCAATTCAGCTCGAGCCCGAGGAAACACATCCCACCGTACTCACCCGACCGCCGGTGGGTATCCTCTGGCTCGGCTATGATCATGCACATGGTGACCGAGTCAGTGGCAAGAGCCAAATAGGGGCTCAGGCATCATATTTGTTGGTACATCAATTGTATAGTTAATTATATAGGTCGTTTGTCCTGTCAAGTTCGATTAATCTTTATCAAGTTAATATTTTTATATTGGTTGAATACATCAAAATATATATTTTTATTATCAATTCTGCTCAAAATGATAAAATATTGATTTTTTCGACCTTAGTGTAACTGTTTAGCCCCCTCGGCAAAATAACACTGGCTCCGGTGCAACTCCCTTATTAGGATGGCTCATAAATCACTTCATGGATAGTACATTTAATAAGTAGCAGTTGCTGATTCTCGCGTAATAGATATTTAAATATATAAAAGTAACAAGACCTACATTACCTGTATATAGATAATGTATCTATCTATCTATCTATATATATATATATATATATCCTAAATGCACCAAAAATTATTGCTAAGTAGAAGCCTACCTTGCCGGAATTGCAGCAGTTCATTTAGACCTGAGCAGTGCCTTCAGTAAATTTAGGATCCTCACATCTGTATTTTCCGTCAGGTCCGATTCCGAATCCCCGGGGGTCGGCGAATACGTTCTCCAGCAACTGGCTACGGTGAGGAGCTGGGCTTTTATCTGCAAACTCTACTGCATCTTCAATTCTTTCATCGACGCTCTTCTCAATGGCCTTCAGCTCTCCTACGTTCGACAGTTTGGTTTCAAGCATGTACTTCTTCAATGCAGCGATTGGATCTCTTTTCGCGTAATGAGCCTTTTCAGCTGTGGAACAAATGTCAATCGTAATCAGTACATTACAAATTCTTGGGATCGATCAAATGGATAGTGAAAACAATCGATGACATGAGTATTCGCGAAGCAGATGTCGCCAAAGTGTATAAACATTCGCGGCTATGGTCCTCTGTTATTGCCAACTTAAACCATATATATATATATATATATATATCTTTTCGACTGAATTAAATATCTATTATCTATGCATTGTATGTGTGAAATGAAGAAATGAATATTATCTATACATAAAATAGAGGAAGCAAACGATAAATTTGTAGTTTAAATGCTAACCAGGGTCGCGAAGCTCGTCAGGATCAGCCAAAGAGTGTCCTCGGAATCTGTAGGTCTCGCATTCAACCAGGGTAGGACCTTCGCCTCTTCTAGCCCTTCCAATAGCCTCCTTTGCGACATCTCTCACCTTCAATACATCCATACCATCGACATGGACCCCCGGCATCCCAAATGCAGGACCTTTCTTCCAGATTTGAGGATCAGACGTCGATCTTAAATGGGACATCCCAATTGCCCACAAATTATTCTCGACAACAAACACAATAGGAAGCTTCCATAACGCAGCCATGTTCAGACATTCGTAGAACTGGCCAACATTGCAAGTCCCGTCTCCAAAAAAAGCCAAAGAAACATGGTCACAATCCTCCTTCAAAACTTCTCTCTTATACTTGCTCGTGAAGGCAGCCCCGGTCGCAACTGGAATGCCTTCTCCAATGAAGGCAAAGCCACCTAGAACATTGTGCTCCTTGGAGAACATGTGCATCGAGCCGCCCTGGCCCCTGCAGCAACCAGTGGCCTTGCCAAAGAGCTCGCTCATGACCTCACGAGGCGGGACACCCTTGCTCAATGCGTGTACATGATCGCGATACGTGCTGATCACACAATCTTGCTTCTTTAATTGCTTGATGAAACCAGTCGATATGGCTTCTTGGCCGTTGTACAGATGAACGAATCCAAACATTTTGCCGCGGTAATACATCTGAGCACACATATCCTCGAATGCTCTTCCCAACACCATGTCCTCGTATAATACCAAGCATTCGTCTCTACATATGGGCTATAAACATGAAAATCACAATTTATTTACCGCTTCATAGCTGCATTCTTTAAAGTTTAACAGCCAAACTTGTTGGTTTTTTCGAGCAAAGGTAAATGCACCAATCCAAATTGAAATTTAGGGAAGATAGAATATTAATCTATTGACAGAATCAAATAGAGATATAAAACAATTCATCATTATATCATGTTCAACTTTATTTAGGCATTTTTGTGTTCATTCACCTGACTTTATTCAAAATAACTTGAAAAAAATTAATCCTAGCACGGTTGAAAATGCAAAATCAGCAGCATTCTGTTCATGCTAAGAGTAATCAACAAACAGTTCTCCAAAATTCATTTTCGGTCAGAGTGTATATTCAGAATTAGTGAAATTGATCTAATACGCATCGGAATCGCATAAGCATAACGAAGAGCAAACACCATCCGCATAAACAAACCGTAAAATTGAAGAAAAACAACGATACCAATTTGGGGGCGGCAGAGCTGGATTTGAGCGTCGTCTCCTCAACGACATCCGAGGAGACCGCAGCAACGTTGGCGGATGGGCGATTCAGGGACGGGACCCCCCTCTTGTGAACAGCGAACAGCCTCTTTCCTGGAGATTTGAAGGAACCGAGGAAAGAAGAAGAATGCAGCGATTTACATGGAGAATCAGGCTTTTGGGAGGATCTGGAAGAAGCGATTGAAAGAGGATGATTGATAACCTTGGCCATGGCCGAGCATGCCATTTCGCAAACTGCAAATTGGGATTAAAGCTGTGGAATCACACAGGATTGATTGAAAAAAAACTGGAATGAGGAAGAGAATCGGAATGATCGGAGAAACGATGAATGGGTGGTGCGGCGAAAGGGAGAGAGGGTTCTGCTCGTTCGTTCTACGTATGGAATGTATGATTGAATGAATGAACTAACCGTCTTGTCTCAATTTGTGCTGCTGCGTAATTATGGCTATGCTATGTATCTCTCTTCAAATATATTCTCCATTAATATTATTTATTTATTTATTACTCCACCATTCCTTCTCCTTCTCGATTTCCATCGGGCCTTAGGTTCGGCTGGGTTTACCATTTACCAGTGCGGTGGATTTTTTCGAGTAGCTACAGTAGTAGTTAGGATTGTTGGTTAGCTAATTTTGGTTGTCCTACGGTAAAATAAATTTTAAAAATATATTTAAATATTATATTTTAATAAAATATATATAATATAGATATATTTTTATAAAGAATAGAATTTTAAATAATACAAATAAATAAAAATATATATACTATAATTAAGATAAACTAATTTTATAAAAAATTAAAAATTTTAAATATAGATAAAAATATTTATTTATTAAAGAAAAAAATAAAAATAAAGAGATTTTATATAATATATTATTAAGTTAAATTGATTTATATTTATTTACTAAATTTTACTATATTAAAAAGAATAATTAATAAAAATATATTAAGTCAAATTAGAATTACGATTGATTTGACTTTGTTACAGTAAAATCAACTTTTTTCCACACATAGTTTTATTAAAAAGAAACTGTTTTAATTCAAAATTTTCTTATTTAAAATCATTTTCACAGTTCATGCTCATTTTTCTTTCAAAAAGCATTATATCCGATGCTATTTTTATCAAATAAATAAATAAATAAAATTCGAAACAAAATAAAATAAAATAAAACTGAATCACAAATAAACATGCCCATTTAACAAAATGCAAACATAGCATATAAATTGACAACATATTACATAGTTCTACTTTAACTAGTTCTATCTATCATCAATTTAACACAAAGATATATATATATTCATACATCACATATGTAAGTATGCACCAACAGCATATACTTTCATTATACTGAGTTAAATAAAAGTAGGACTTGTCAGTATTATATATGTTGACCATCCCCATATATACATATATATATATGTTTATATATCTTCACAACCACAAAATACTCTCCAAAAATGGACATTTGCATAGTGTAATTCCATAAATTAAACCATTCAACTCAACACAGATTTTCCAATGTCAGAACTGCTATAAACTAAAAGAGACACAATCTATGTAATCAGAATGCAACCCAATCTTCTACAATAGTATGCTGTTTATTTATTCGGAGTTTATTTCTTCGTATTGTAAAGATGCAGGGATCCCGCAAAGCAAATGCTCGCGCAGAATCAACCCCAACCGACATAAGATTCTATACATTTAGCAAACTATAACAACATTCGAACATGCATCATTGCAACTAGAGTGTGTGTAGATGGACTGTTCAAATTGGACATGTGATAAGTTGTTGAATTAGTAAGCACAATGCAAAGGGATATGCTCTTACATACGGGAGCGTCGATCTTAAACCACCTTGAATTCAATCAATATACTGTCCATTTGAGGCTCAAGTCTCCTTATCTTACAAAAAAGAAATTCAGATGTCAGTATTAGCATAACCTGTGGCTAATGTGCAAAAGAATTTGCCTTGTTGATCAGCAAATTGATGGGAGAGATAGAGGGACAAAGAGAGAGAGAGAGAGAGAGAGGTTGATGTTTTTAGATTAGATTCAAGATCAACATGACAGAAGAATACAGCATAAGCTTACTTTGACACCTGCCATGGAAAGAAGCTTGTGAGAAGCAACATAGGTAGTGCATGAATTATTCAATCTCTTCTCCACACAGTATATGACCTCCGAAACACCTGACTGAAGTAAAAACATAAAAATACGAAAAGTACATTAGGAGAATAAGATCTACAGAAAAACTGAAATGTAGCACGACAGGTAAAAACTCCTAATTCGAGAGAACAAAGTCACATAGATATTGTGAGCCTCTTTTGATATACAATAAATTAAAGAGTAGTGCCGCTATTTACAGTGTTGTATATATCCGGCGAAAGGATTTTATAAAGACAATAAATGCCTATCATAACTTGAGACTGTGTTTAACAAATTGCAGCCAATATGCACTGACACTCAGAATGCTACATAGAACTAAGTTACTAAAATGGTCGGTTCAGATCTTGTTTCTCAGATACGAAAAGTGAGTCGCATTGCGTTGTTCCTATTTATCGTGTGCAAATAATGAAAAACTATCTGTATCATTTCCAGATGCCATTCTTCACTGATTCAAACCTTAAATTAATTCCTCTACAGATTGTACAGGTTTAAGGTGCATAACTGAGTTCTTGATTGAAGTAGAGAAGATATAAACTTACCTGAATAATAATCTTTGCACATTCGTTGCAAGGAAACATTGTCACGTATAGTTTCTGGAATGATAAGATCATAAGAAATGCAAACATATTTTCAGTAATAATGAACCAGAACTAGAATGAAACGAGCAAAAGTGACAATCAAAAGCATTAGAACTAACTTGTCCGGCAGCGGATGCATGATTTGTGTTCAAGATGGCATTGACTTCAGCATGACAGACGTAACTATATAAGAGAATGGAAATTTGGAACTTGAGAATTAGTTAGGGGATGCAGAAAGTGGGGAAGAAATGAAAACTTGAGTGGTCAAAAGAAAAGGATACACAAAACTTATAGATGACAAACATTATGCATTTCAATATGATATTACTCACGGGTACTTCGTCTCCAAGGGATCCCCATTCTTGGATTTCTGATTTACCAAGTAAGAGTAAGAAGCCATAACTTTCAAAGATTTCTGTTATTTTTTTTAAAAAAAGATAAGAGTGTTCCTACCTTAGACCATGGGAGCTTGTCATCCGAGCAGCCACGCGGGAAACCATTGTAGCCAATGCCTTGAGAATAATAAAGCATCAAAATCAATTTGAGAATTTTGTGAAAGTCAATGACTTCAATTACACATGCCTAAAATTCGTAAGCAGCAGCTTGAGGGTATGAATCATTTGTTTGGAGGTCTAGATTTTGGGTTGGGATTTGAATATTAAAAAATTTAAATTGAAATAGTTGTACGATGTGATATAAATAAGTATTAACGTGATATTTTGAATGTAAAATTGATTTTTAGTATAATATAAAGAATAAGTATTTAATTAGATATTTTTTGAGGGAAAATTTTGTATGAATAGTGAAAATGTCTCAAAATCCTTCAAACAAACACAAATGCACAGTTATAAATCTTCATCCAAACTGTTCCCACCAATACACATTTGCTATAGCTGTCAATTAAACACGCAAACATATGTCAAGAGCAATCTGTGGGCACAAGAACTTTAGGGGACAAATGAATTTTAAGAGCACATATTTTATAATCTGTAGTTCATGAATTAACTCACATGGTATAAAGAACAGTAAAGGTCCTTTAAGTTAAATATTGTGAATTTTAGTATTTGGCACAAACTTGATGAATGTTTGAATAAATGATTCTTGAAGTCTTATATCATCTATGGTATTATTTGGAGACAGCCAGATATAGTTTGAGAAGTCTTCTGCTCAATTCAGAAAGTATTGTCGATAATTCTTGGGGGACTTCATATAGAGATTCTACACAAAAATTCATATCCAATATTCAGAGAGTTAGGCAGCATTTTTTGTAGCACTTTCTTCAATATTCAAGAAAAAAATATAAACTCTCAACAGCACAAGTTACAAGACCTAAAGTATTGGTTCAACAATTGTAACATCGACCCTCAAACAAATTTTGTAAGTTTCGACGTTGAGACAAGCCCACATGTGACATGACAAAAGTTCAAAATGTACACTAAATTGTTTAAGATATTTATTTTTCATCAAGCTTCTACATGGACAACCTTAATTCACACTATTTTACAAAGGAGACATCACCAGAGGTAGTTTGGGTACAGCAATATGAGCCTAGGCAGTTGTTACCAACAGAATAAACCATTAATACTTCATGATGTTTGAGTTTTTTTGAGCTTACATTGTTTTCGATAACTGGGCGGGCGGAAATTAAACTAGGCTACCACATAGCGACCTAAATTGGGGAAACATAGTGTATCGCTTCGTTTACTTCTGCTAAATAAACTATGTTTGTACATGTTTAAAATTAGCAGAAAACACACTTGCGAACAAGAGAATAAAACATGGCCATGGCAGGTACAATTAGCAGAGTAGCATTGGCTAAACTAAACACTTATATCATTTACCATTTCGACAAACACTGATATAGTGTAAGTATGATATTACAAAGCATGATGCATCTAGGGTTAACAAATATAGGAATTGACGCCACAGAGATTCCATTGGTTCCCATTTTAGTAGCTACTCTCAAATTGATCAACCAACAAAAGGCCATACCAACAATAGTACAAAAATGAAATTTCGGATTTGGGAATAATTTAGCAGGTAGAAAGAAGGATCTAGTAAATGTAATAGATTCAAGAAAATCACAATCGACGACATATCTGCTGTTATTATTGAGGATGCACAAGTTTGTCACTAAGGTTTTCAAGAAAAACAATGCTTTCAATCCAATTAACACTCCACAAACCAAAGTAAAAGTCAATTCCAACAAATCAACAAAAGTAGCTGTTATCAACATTTAACTGAAGTTCTCCTAGTAATCTTACCAAGGATTATTCCCTTATCACTGACAAGGCAAGCACCGACCTGCGAAAGAGAAAGCCAATAAGTGAACTAAAGATGCATCCACAAACCACACAGGACAAGAAATTATTTAACAATGAAAATACTCAAAAACAAAAATGAAATCATTGAAATTCGATGCAACAAAAAACCTGTCTATTGGGATCCTTCGACCTCTCAGCTGACAGAAAAGCAATTGCCATAAAATAGTCATCCCAGGACAAATACCTGCAATGTGAATGCACAAAACAGAAGATAAAAATTGATCCACGCCATTAGTATACTCATGAAATTCGAATCAAACTCTTGGCTCATATTAGCACATTGAAGACTTGGAAAATTATTCAATAGACGCTCCATTTTCTTACTCTGATGAACAGATCGAATTCCAAAGAGATGTGCAACATTAACAGAACACACAACTTGAGCTTTGCAAAGCACGAATGTATAAGAAATCGACACTAAAGAATTTAGATCGAAGCAAAAAAAACAAAAAAACTTATACCCTTTTCTTTTTGCGGGATCGCAGGGATCCTGACGAGAAGTCTTCGTCTCCTCAACTCTGTTTGCCGTCGGCGAGCTGTGGTTTTTTTGGTTGCGGTAGTTGAAGAACAGGGCTACGGAGACGGCGGAGGCCGCCGCACCTAGCAATGTTGCGGCGGAAGGTAAAGCTACCTCTCTCGAAATCATAACCACCGCTGCAAATCTCTCTCTTGCATAGCCCGCGAAAATGGCGTAGGGCGGCATTAAAGAAAAAACAAGCGGGAATGAGGTTTGGCTACTGTACAACGACGGTGTACTGGACCGGCTCCCGATGTGGTCCACCTCATCCTAAGCTCGTACAGAAGCTGAATTGATTATGATTTAGGTCTATGATTGTTATCGTTTGCTCAATTTTAACGATTTTTTTTTTTTTTTTTTTTTTTTTTTTTTTGGAAATCCGCAGTAGCTGCAGTCGCTACCGACAGCAAGGTCATATTAGGCGAAACTTTTTTAGTATGATCGTGAGGTCATATGTTCAAACTTCCAACGTCTCATGTCGTCTGTCACATATATTTCGTCAAGCCTAGTTGCGATTCACGTCATAAAAAAACAATTTTTTATATATATATTATGTGTGTCTATTATTAGAACTGACAATGCTTTGGATTCATATCGGGTTGAATATCGGGTTAAGTTATTTAAATTTAGTCTGACTAATTTATTATCGTGTCGGATTTGTGCTAATTATCGTATGGAATTTGGATTGATTTGTGTTGACCTGTATACATAATTAATTCGAAATTTTTAATTCAAATTAAATTATTTTTATATCGCTGTGTTGTCTTGATTTTTATTAATTTGAGAATAAATTAAATTGAATTATTTAAAATTAAATTAAAATTAACTATAAATAAATTATTAAATTAAAATTATTTTAAGTATAAAATAAATATATTAATAATATTATAATTAAATTGTTCGTGTCAGATAGATCTAGATAGATCTTGAAGAAGGTCCTCCTTTACTAGACTTATTATTATTATATGTATATATTATGAGATGAGATCATACCATATATACAACTATGTGAGATGGGGATCACCCCGATGCTTGTGATACCATTTTATATAGTATTATATATATATATACACACGGGGGTTTGGATTTTGTGTTAGGATTTGAATAGTAAAAATTTTGAATTTAAATAGTTATATGATGTGATATAAATAGATGTTGATGTGATATTTTGAATGTAAAATTGATTTTTAGTATAATATAAAAAATAAAAATTAATATTTGATTTGATATTTTTAGGGAAAAAAAATGGGATAGAATAGTGAAAATTAAATTCAATTCCCCAAACAAACACACCCTATATATATCATAGAAGGATAAATTTTTTTTGTCCTGTAACTAACCTCTTTATCATTTTAGTCCTGTAAATAGAGTTTGTCGCAAATTAGTTTCATAGGTAAAAATTTTTTGTTGTTTTAGTCCTCCGGTGCCAGAGACGCCCGCGTGGCTCGCCGGAAGTCACGTGTCTACCAGGTGTCCCGCTAGGTTAGCGACACGTAGCTGACACGTGAATTTTATTTTATTTTTTATTTTTATTTAATTATTTAATTTCTTTTTCAATTGAACCAAATAAAAAAATTTAAAAAATTTAAAAAAATAAAAGAAAATGAAAATTAATAATAAAATCCACATCTCCACCATGTGTCGCTGACCTGGCGGACACGTAGCCTCCGGCGAGCCAAGTAGGCGTCTCCGGCGCCGGAGGATTAAAACAACAAAATTTTTTCACTTATGGGACTAGTTTGCGACAGATTTCACTTAACGAACTAAAATAATAAAGGTCAGGGACTAAAAAATTATTTACCTTTGATAAATTTATGTAAATTTATTTGGACATGAAAATTAAAAAAATAATAATAGTAATAATTTAATATTAGAGCAAAGTAGGTAAAATATAATGTAGTATTATGAAAAAATTATTAAAAAATTGACGAAGAAGTAGGGAGATAAAAAAATATATACATAGTATCAAATTAGTTAATTTTTATAAAAAAAAAAATGGGTACAATTTTGACGGACAGAAAGCGTATTTATTAAAAAAGAAACGCGATACAATAAAATTATTTACTATAAATGAAGAGTACATAAATTTAACATACAAAAAAAAAGTAATAGTAACTTAATTTTAGTCCCTCCGTCCCATTGAAAAGTTGTCGTTTTTCATTTTCGTCCGTCCTAAAACAAGGTTAGAAATATCCTTCCAACTTACACTATATTACACAAATGTCATTACTTTTATATTACAAAATACTAATAGGAGTGTTTTCGTCTTTTTCACTACAACTCATTATAATACTAATATTTAAAATTTTCTGTGCAAAAAGTAAATGACAACTTTGCACCGGGACGTAGGGAGAATTATATTTTTGTTAGATTTTTTAGAAATTATATAAAAACAAAACATTACACACTCTACTTAAAAACACAAACATATGATTTATTATATATATGTACATCGATCAAACATTAATTGAATTGGTTTGATCGATGACCACATGATCTTTGAGCTCTACTTCTGAAACTAAATTATGATCATTATCCATATTGGCATTAGTATTATTATTATCGATTGAATTATTGATGTTCTTGATCTTGATCTCGCCATAAGAGTAAGAAGCAAAGCCCCAGAGAGTGAGGAACAGTGAAACCCCTTTTTCAGGATGGAAGTTCTCGTGGTAGAAGACGACAGCCAAGATTTGAGTTATGGGGAGAGTGACAGTGATGACAATGGCAGAGAGCAGAGACGAAGCGTAGAAGACGACTCCCACCATGCCCAGGAAGAAGCACTGCAGAACTATGGAGGTCCATAGCAGAACCCAGTAGTACTTGAATTCCCCTAGCTCATATTGCTTTGCTTCTCGAGATATTGCCTACATATATACATACATATATATATATATATACACACACGCGCGCGGGTGTCAATTCGTGTTTTCGGATCGTGTTTATATCGGATTGAGTTGTAAAAACAATAATAAAAAAAAATGTCGGCTCCGTTCACCCAACATTAATTGATTTTCTGTGTGTGGTATAAACCCATCTCAAAAGAGTTGTATTGTTTTACCATTTTTTCGTTCGTCTCAAAATAATTGTTTCGTTTATTTATTTAGTAAACGTAGTTCCCACATTATAATAAAATTATTCCTACTAACTAGCCTTAGTTATTACTCTAACCTATTTTTTTAAGGCATTTTAGTCTTTTATATTCTACTTTATAACCATTGAAAATGCTATTATTCCTTAATTTCTGTGTCAATAATACGTCTGTTTTCGGGACAGAGAGATTATAATATTTTAAGTTGAATATTTTGACTTTTTGGTATTTTGCAATGAATATTTGAAGTATTTTTTACTTTTATAAAAAGTATTTTATATTATTTATTATTTTTTTTGAAAAATTACAAATGAGTGAACAAATCCGTAATTCTAACCCAACCCAGATTTGATTTTCATCTCAAAATTCTAAATCGAAACAAGACATAAATTTTTTCTGATCAAATTTAGATCAACTTGATTTTATTCAACTCATCCGACAACCCAAAAAAAATCAAAAGAGATCTCGTTATGTTCGAAAAAACAAACCCACTATTTAGATATATATTCCCCGTCCTTTAATAATCTATCTATTTTTTTATTTTGGTCAGTCTCATGCCAAACTATCTAAAAAAAGAAGTACTCTACTTTTTAGTAACATTAAAAATACCCTTACAATTTTAATATATTAAACAAATATCATTACCTTTATATAACATTATACTCTCTCCGTCTCACATAATTTGTCCCTATTTTCTATTTTCATCCGTCCCGCATAATTTGTCTTTTCTTTTTTTGGAAAATTAATTATACACTTTAATCATATTTTAAAATTTAAAAATTAATTTTTTTTAATATTAATTAAACTATTTAGTTATCTTAATCTTAATTTATAACTATTTTTACTAAATAATAATTATTTTTACTAATACATTTCTTAATTGCTTACTAATTATATTTTACCTAAATTTTCGTGTCTACAGTAATAGACTCATGTTACATGGGACGGAAGGAGTACTAATAATGTTATTTTAATCTTTCTACTTTATTCATATCACATCCCAATACAATATTACTATTTTTAAAATTCCATGCAAAAAAAAAACAAACAGATAGTTAGATAATGAACAGAGGGAATAAAATATAATTTTAATAAACGAATGCATCCAACTACTCCCTCTGACCATTAAAATTAACTCACTTGAGTCCGGTATGGAGATTAATAAAAAAAAAAAAAGTATTTATTAAAAAAATAATAAAAATTAAAAAATAGCTTACTTTTGGAAATTAGTTAGAAATGATAGAAAACAATTTATCGTAAATATTTATTGAATGAATGATAAGAATTCAACTGTGGATATTGTTCACTTTTTACCAAAATTAGTAACTAAATAAATTTAATAAATTAATTAAAATTAAGTTAAGAATTTGTTTCTTTAATCACCAATATAATAAACTAATTAAAAATAAATTAAGGGTTTGTTTCTTTGGTCATCAAACTCCAAGTTAAGACTATTTGGATTCTACATTTGTCGAAAAAAAAACATTTTTTTTTTCTTACAAAATATTCATCATATATTATTTTAATATCAAATTTAAATAAAAATTTTGCCAAATTTATCGTAAGAAACATACCTAAATAATTATTTAAACAAGTACAAATCAAACACACAACAAATAAAGAAACAGGTTTTTTAGATATATATATTTTTCTACTTAAAAAAAAAAAAAGATATTCAATAATATTTTTCAAAAAATATCTCGAGCGGATAAACTATTGTAAGGATAAAAATGCACTTTTAGATTTTGTTTATTTATGTTATTTTTTATATATTAAAAATAAAAAAATAAAATAATCAATCATGGAAGTGTACCTGAAAGTCGTTGTTGATAAGCATCCCCACGGCAGAAAAAACCGTGGCGACGGCGCTCATAGTCATCTGAAACTCCACCACCAGACTGTAACTAATTTCCTCCCCTGCCGCCGCCGCCTTTCCGTACGTCAGCTCCACCACCGGCAGCATCAGCCCCGCCACCGCCGCCGCCGCCACTGTCAGCGCAAACCCCAAACTATACTCCTTCCCGGTTACTCCCTCCGGCCGGTCGCCGCCGGCGTTCATCCCCAGCACCGCCGCCCCAACCGTCAGCAAAACGACGGCGTTCACCGAGTACGCTGTGAACCGCTGCTTCACCAGAAAATACGCGAACGCCGCCGTGAAAACCAGCTGCGACGCCACGATCAGCGACGACGTCGACACCGGAAGCTTCGCGAGCCCGTAGGAATAGAAGTAATTGCTTATTCCGGCGAGGATTCCGACGCCGGCGCAACCGAGGAAAACCCTCGGGGTCATGAAGATAACTGTTGCCGACGCGCCGTCGCTCCGCCGCCGTCTGCGGATGTAGGCGGCGGCGAGGGGGAGGAGCATGATGGGAAAGCCGGCGGTCTGGAGGAAGCTGGAGAGCCAAATTCGGGCGCCGCCTTTGACGAAGTAGAGGCGCATGATCAGAGGGCCGCCGGAGTTGCCGACGGCGAGGAGGATGCAGTTTAGGATTAGGAAGATTTTTCTCCAGACGGCGGCGGCGGCGGCGGCCATGGCTGGGGTTTTTAGGGTTTTATGTGTTTGGACGGGACGGCGATGGTTTCGATATGGATTCCGACAGAGGGGCGAGCATTTATTGCAGCTTATACTGGAAAAAGCCGCGTCAGCGTTTTGGGAGGGGGGTTTGTCATTTGATTGCTTATTTCATTAATTCCGAACATATGTATTGATAATAATTAATTTTTTTTAATAATTTCTTTTACTTTTTAAAATTTTATTATTAATTATTTAATAAATATTTTATAATATTTTTATTTTATTTTTATATTAAAATACTATAGTCATGCAAATATATGTTCATTTAAAATTTTAATAAAAATAAATAATAATAATTATTATTTTTTTTATATAGTAAAAAAAGTACTAGTATAATTATTTTTTATTAGAAAAATGGTAATATTTTTTAATGACAATCCAACAAAAAAAAAATAGTATAAATTTAAATGACGAAGGAGTATTATTTTTTAATTTTTATATCTAAATATTATGGCATAATTAAAATGGATGGAGGGAGTACTTTATAAATATTATCATTTCTCAAACTTCAACATAAAATATATATATACTTTATATTCCCATCAAATTTATTTTTATTTTTGCAAAAATATTTTATAAAAAATATTATTATTATTATTTTATATTATTATCAAAATAAAAGACTAGATACCATAACACATATCCAAATCTAAAGAATCTAAACAATTCAACTTAAACAAATCAAAACAATGGAATATATGAATAAGATTAAATAAATATAAATATAAATTTATTAAATTTAAAACTAAATATTTTAAATATTTTAAAACTCTTCAAATTCAAATAGTGTAACATAAATCGATGTGAGTTAGCAAAAATGAAAGGAAATCCAAGATAATGCTGCCCAGCAGCAGCAATCGTCTAACATGCAAGAATCAGAAACAATGTCCTCAATTGAATTAGAGTCGGAAACAGACTCTTAACGGAGTAAAAAAAGAGACTCTAATTGAAGTCGAAAATAACGGGACTCTCACCGAAGTAGGAAACAACGAGACTCTCATCGTAGCCATAAACAACGAGACTCTTATGGGAGTCGAAAATAACAAAAGTCTCACATTGAGCCGGAAAATAACGGAACTCTCACCAAAGTTGGAAATAACATGATTCTCACAGAAGTCGGAAACAATAGAACTCTCACCGAAGCCGAAAAATGATGGAACTTTCACAGAAGTCAATTTAGGTATGTTTATTGTCTGAGATAATTTGAATGGATATTATTTTGACATGAAATATAGAGAATTTTATAGTAAATATAAAATAATTTAAAAAACCATGTGTATACAAAAAGAAGGGACCATAAAAATCTTTTTGGACTATTTGGACTATTTGAATTTTTTTGTGAAAAGTTTCTCTATAATTTAAAAATAATATTTTCATTAAAATATATATATATATATATATATATATAGATATTGAATTCGATACCTTTGATGACAGTCAGCAAACGAGGGTAGAAGGCAATAATTCAGGTAATATTATAAAGTATTTCATTTTATTTTCTGTTTTTATTTAATTCAAAGTCACGGCTTATTAACATATGATTATTTTATTTAATACGACCTTACCATATATGTGGTCACTATATTTGACTTTAAAATTTTGAAACTGTACATATATAGAAAGTCGCTGAATTTTTATTATTATTATTATTATATATATATTTAAAATCAGCAATATTAATTTATTATTTGTGATTTTTCGAAAATAATAATAAATAAAAAAAATTTATAAAAATTTAAAAATTAAAAAGAATTCAAATATTAATTACAAAAATTTTAAAAATTAAAAAAAATAAAATAAAAACTTCAAATACTAATGATAAAAAATCAACTATTCAATTTAAAATAATATTTTTCCGTCCCAAAACTATTGTTTGGGTTGTGTTTGACACATGATTTAAGGAATATTGATATTATATTGACATATGATAAAAAGTACGGTAAAAGACTTTTTTACCGTTGTGAGTGTATTAGTGTAAAAAGTAGCGACAATTGTGTAATATTAATGAAAAAGTAATGGTAATTTTATAGTGATATAGTTATTTATGGAAATAAGACTATTATTTTAAGACAGACAAAAATAATAAATAAAACTATTGTATAGAGACGAATGAAGTATCTTTTATCTAAAAACTTTGTGTGAAAAGCCAAATTGTTTAGTTATGATTTTCAATAAAATATACTATTTATTTTTATAAAAATATTATATTAAAATAATATTTAAATAAAAATTCAAATAAATATTTTATTTCAAATAAATTTTAAATTATAATATTCAATAATAATTTTTTTTTATTTAAATAATTTTTAATATATATTACATTTACGTAATATTTATAATATAAATTTTATATTTAATATAATATAAAAAAATAAAAATAGATAATTGATTTAATATTTAAAAATAATTTTTTTTATAAATAATAAAAATTTAAAACAAAGAAACACCAAACAACCAAAGTTAACATTTTTTATGTCACTTTTTTATCATTGGACAAATATTATAATGCTATTATCTACTTGGTCAAAGCTTATCATCTTTTTAATCATTGGGCAAAGCTAATACTCTATTCCTCGGAAAGAAAGAAGAGGATTTGTTTTTTATATATAAATTTTTTAATATTAATATGACTAAATTACATAAAATTCATATTTGGTTTCGTAAAATTGCATCAAATTTGTATATTTTCAAAATTGAATCAAATTTTCTCGTGATTTTATAAACTCTGCGTCTAATTTTCTCGGTGGTCTTTATTTAATGGTATTTGACCTATATGCATTTAAATTACGAATAAATTTTAAAATTTCAATTTCTAAACATCTAAAATTACAAATATATTTATTTTTCATATATTTAGCCTAAAAAAAACAGTAAAAATAATATCTTAAAACCTAAAAAAAATAACTATTTCTTTAATATATTTACTATTTTTTTAGACTAAATATAATAAAAATGAATATATTAGTAATTTGAGAGGTTTAGATATTGAGATTCTAAAATTTATTCGCAATTTGGACGCATTTAGGTCAAATGCAATTAAATAAGGACCGTTAATGGAGTTAGAGACAGAGTTTATGAATCAACGACCTTTGAAGCAGTTTTAAAAAATAGAGAATTTGATACAATTTCATAAAATCACATATAAATTTTGTGCAATTTAGTCTATTAATATTATATTAGTGTGTAATTTTTGTTCGGATTAGCCAATCAAATCAAGCTATTAAAAAAACAAAAATATTATATAAATTAATAAGGAGTAATTTAATAAAATAAAAATTAATTCATATATATAAATTAATAAATATATTTATAATCAGTGTGGGCCTCAGTAAGTGGGCCTGCACTCATTATTATATCGTGCGCAAGCCGAATTCAATCTGTACACAAATTGGAGTCGGTTTTGAATTTTAAACATGTCTTGACTCTAGTCTACAAATAATTGTATATTTATTAATTAATATTCATTTTTATCCGTCCTATATTCCATGTCATTTTTTTTAAAAAAAATTAATTATATATTTTAATCTCATTTTAAATTTTTTAATTTTAATTAAACTAATTAATTATCTTAATATTAATTTATAATTATTTATATTATAGGATAATTATTTTTACTAATACATTTTTAATTATCTACTAATTATACTCCTCCTAAAATACCGTGTCTACAGTGTAGCAGACACGGTATATGAGACAGATAAAGTAGTATAAAACTCCATGTGGTTTTCGAAATTTACTAAAAAAAAATTTATCTTAAAATTTTATAGTATTATCTTATTCGTGATTTTTAAGATATTGCATAAAAAATTTTATACATTAGTATTTAACGATGATTACAATTTACGCATCCAAAATACAATTATTGATAGAAGAGAACAGGACCGTAGATACTTTGCATTTTGAAGTGAGCGCGATCGAACAATATAACAGATTTTACAATTATGCAATATTTTTGAAACACTTGAGTAAATAATACTCCATTCGTTCTAAAATTATAGTCTGAGTTAATGAGTTGTGTTTGGTACGAGATTTAAAAAATATTGATATTATATTAGTAGTGCGTAAAAAGTTCGGATAAAAAACTTTTTTGCCCTTGTGAGTGTATTAAAGTAAAAAATTGTGGCAATTGTGTAATAATAATGAAAAAATAAGAGTTGTTTTATAGTGATATAATTATTTATAAAAATGAGACTATTGTTTTTGGACGGATAAAAATGATAAACAAGACTATTGTATTAAGACAGAGAGAGAGAGTATAAAAATTTTATGACCAAATGAGATTTTCAACTAATTCAAAAAATTACAGGAAAATGGGTAAACTGTTTTTTTTAGTCCCGTAACTGGACCCCTTATCATTTTAGTCCCGTAAGTGGAGTCTGTCGCAAACTAGTCCCATAAGTGAAAAATTTTCGCTGTTATAGTCCTCCGGCGTTGGAGATGCCCGCGTGGCTCGCAGGAGGTGACTTGTCCGCCAGGTGTCGCTGACCTGGCGGACACGTAGATTTTTTTTTAATTTTTTTTAAAACTTATTTTTAATTTATTTTAAATTTTATTTTTATATATTTTTTTTATTTATTTCAATTAAAAAAAAATAAAAAATTAAAAAAAAATGAAAAAAAAAAAATTAAATCTACGTGTCCGTCAGGTGTCGCTGACCTGGCGGACACGTCACCTCCGGCGAGCCACGCGGGCGTCTCCGGCGCCGGAGGACTAAAACAACGAAAATTTTTTACTTATGAGACTAGTTTGCGACATGCTCCACTAACCGGACTAAAATAATAAAAGAGTTCAGTTATGAGACTAAAAAATAATTTACCCACGAAAATTTTATGCTATTTTTTCAATAAACCATTGTTAGCGTGCTATAGGAATACAGCTGGCTTTGTTAATTGACAATGAAAGAAAAATAATGAAAATTACGTAAAGGAGTGCAATTAAAAGTGTGTTTGTTCGTGATTTTGGATATTTGGGTTTGGATGTTTGCACAGTAAAAATTTGAATTTGAATAATTATTTAAAATGATATAAATATACGTTGATAAGATGTTTTGAATATAAAATAAATTTATATTATAATATAAAAAAATAATTATTTAATTAAATATTTTTGAAGAAAAAAAAATATGAG